CCATAGGTCATAACAATACCAAAAAAATGCATAAAATCCCACATGATAAAACTCCAAGGTGAGAGGTGCTGTGAGAAAAATAAAATAATTGGTTCAGAAAATTTAAAACCCATTTCATACAGTTAATTTTATAAAGAAATCATACTGTTTTTCTCTCCTCTATTGCTGTAACTTTCCAAACAGCTAGCAGCACAGTGAACATGATTTTCCTAGGCCTTTGTCTCAAGAGATATCTTTCCTCCATCACTACACAGGAACCAACATTTGCATTACATTGTTCATGAATCTAAAGAATTTGGAAACATTTAGAAATAAAAGATTGGTATGCACCTGCCATTAAGTCAAGGAAACCAGAATATTTGCAATACTAAAGGCTTGCCTACATGCAGAAATTCACATCACACCTCCAGCCAGCAGACAGTGCCTGACTGGCTCCCTTGCTTCTAGGAAACAAAGAACATCCTGAAATTGTAACATTCTTGTCTTTGTCATTTAGAGATCTAAGTGCTATCTTGCATTGTTTTGCAAAAAGCATCAGGGTAGCCCCATTGCCTGTGGAATGTGGGAACATTTCCTAGGCCATAATGGCCCACATTGCCAGGGCAATTAGATTAATTGCTGCAGTTTATAATTTCTATGGCTCTATAGAAATGTATGGGACCAATATGGTATAAAAGAAGGCAAGACGCTTAATTTCGGCACTGATCCTTGGAGATCCAGAGAAGGCTTTGTCTTTCGTGATCTCTCTGGGCCAGTCCAGAGGCTTCTGTGTATGGGGAAAATCTTTGTTCTGTATATTTAACCACTGACTGTTTATTTATTTTTTTGTATTCCTTGCTTGTCTTTAGCTAATAAACAGTTTTATTGTTTAAATAACTTTGTATTGCATTCCAGCTAACTTTCTTTTAACATTCTACCCGCCTTGGTAAGGGGCACTCACCAGACCATTACGAACCTAGAGGTGCAGGTAACATTTTATACAGGGTTTGTTTAGACTGACAATTGCTACAGGTGCATTCTTACAACAAGAGGTTTTAGAAACGCTGCTTTCTTGCTGCTTTTAGTAGTGATGACCTCCTCCCCATTCCAGTCTCTCTGGTACACACTGGGGACTCTGAAGATAATGGAAGCTACCCAAAAGGAACTTTTCCTGCACAAGCCCCACTGCTAGGAAAGGTAGATGTATTCTTGGGCAATTTCAATGCCTTCGATTTTGAAAGTTTCGTGATTGATTGTGTCCAATATCCTCATGTATTGTCTTGAGTCTTTCAAAGGCCTGACATCATTTGTATAATGAACACATTAACAGATCAGATTATTATAAAGCCTAGAGAGTCTGACCTTTTTGAGGGAAACTGTTATTAGCAAGGTAATTTTATTTTGCATTTCCTTTCTTATTAATGGTAAAGTGTTAGAATAATTTGCATTTAACAGACATCAACATAAATCCGAGGCCTCTGAAAACTAAGCTATCTAGGGATAAGAAAGTACATATTACTCTATTCAAAATGAGAGATTTTAAAAACCATGTATTCTAGATTATGGACATTGGACATGCCCCGTTTTAACGGACTCCCTTGACTTGTCATAAACTTGTTTCTGAAACATTCTGATCATCTACGAGGCATAAGGGTTTGCCGACCCAGAAACATACCGAATTAGTTATGCAGATGCCTCCACATTCCATTTTCATGACAATGGGGGGAAATAAGCAATAGAAATTCTTCTCACACAAATTCAGTTGAAACAAATGCAGCAAGTAAGAACAGAGGGAAGTCTGGCAAAAATACAGAGCAAAATCCTTTGGAAATGTCTCCTATACAAATTTCAGTGAAGCCACAGGGGCTCTTTTCAGTGCATGGAAGTGTTTCTTGGCAGGTTATGATCTCAGGAAACTGGCATCTTTAAATGTGGCTCTGCCTCAATCCCATATAAGGTGTTGGTGGGGAATGCAACAGTGATGTACAGGTGGTGTGTATTAGTAATACATATACCAACCAACCATTTGCACACACTAGTTTGCACACTGGTTTGTTATCCCAGTTGACCCTAATCTTCCTTATAAATAAAAGCCAAATGGTGGTGGCACTTCTCTAGAACATTCCACATGCTCCAAAATCAGTTCGCTCTCTGATCTGTCATTCAGAGGGTCTCCCTATCCACTGGCTGCTTTGCCTGAGTCCTGCCTCCAACATTCTAAACATTCTAAACACGGGAGAGGCTGCAGGTGTGTGGGGGGTGGAAAGCTGAGGGGGAAATAAAGGTAGGTTGATGATTGGCTGGGAAGGAGATAGGGTTGCCAACTCCAGGTGGGAAATTCCTGGGGATGTGAGGGATGGAGCCAGGAGAGGGTGAGGTTTCAGGAGGCGTGGGACCTTGGACAGGTACAAAGCCATAGACTCCACCCTCCAAACCAACTATTCCCTTCTGGGGAACCATCATTGCCAATCTCCAGGTGAGGACTGGAGATCACTCAAAATTACAACTGTTCTTTAGGTAGCAGAGATCAGTTCCTCTGGAGAAAATGGTGGACTCAGTGTCATTATACCCTGCTGAGGTCGCCACAGCAAATTGACACTGAGTGTCCAAGGCCGGGGCACCCGCCCAGAACCTCTTTCTAGAGGCCGTTGTATTTATTTCCACAATGGGCCTTTTCCTAGTAAAAGATATCACATAGCTTTTGTTTTTGCACTTTTCCTTTTGCACCCTGTCACCTGAAGTAACTGAAGCTGATCATGGAAATGAACCCAGTGGAAAGAAAAAGGACTGAGGGCCAAGCCTCTGGGAGGGACAGCAAGCAGGCAGGCAGAGAGATCAGTATTCCCGTTGCCAATGTGACTCTCTGGTGCTTTCAGTCACACACACACTACTTTTTATTTGATTGGGACAGTCTCACATTTAAAGACTGACTTTGCTGCCACCTTGAAGATACTGTCTGTAAATGATTTTGTTCCACACCCAATGCACTAAATGGTTATGCGTCCACTGGACAGACTGTTCAACAATGGTGTGGGCGAGGGTGGGGTGTGTGTGTCAGATGACTCCTTGTGAGAAGAAACGATGATATTGCAGAGGAAGCAGAAGTAGTGTGCTGCTGATGGAATATCTGGCAACAAAAGCATTCCAATGTGATGAAAGGATATGGTTGTCTGCTGGATTTAGGCTGTCAACACATTTGCATGGATCTGTTTGGCTATTTCTCCTACTGAAGAAAAAGAAGAAGAGATTGGATTTATATCCTGCCCTTCACTACCCGAAGGAGTCTCAGAGCAGCTTACAATCCGTTTCCTTTCCCCTCCCCACAACAGACACCCTGTGAAGTAGGTGGGGCTGAGAGAGCTCTCTCGATAACTGCCCTTGAGAGAACAGCTCTGAAAGAACTTATGCCTGACCCATGGTCACACCAGCAGCTGCATGTGGAGGAGTGGGGAATCAAACCCAGTTCTCCCAGATTAGAGTCTGCACTCTTAACCATTACACCAAACTGCTTCCATCTAAATAACTAAATATGCTTTGAAAAACCATTATACTTTGAACTGCTTGCATGCTACATCAGAACCATTGCTCCAGGCTCTTGAGCACTTTCACACACACACTGAATAGTGCACTGTCAATGCACTTCACAACTGGATTTTACTGCAAGAAAATCCCCTTCAAATGATCACTAAAGTCTTGCATGATGGAGGCTATTTGCCCAATGATAAGAAATATTTCTGTAAGCTGAAATCTCATGGCTGGAGCAGGCTGCTGCAAGATCTCCCCTAGTCCATCTGGTGTTGCTTATACTTGAAATTTTGCAAGCCATGAAGCTACGAAGCACTGAAATATGAAAGGGTTTGTGATCACTTCTCCAAAGCAGTCAAGTGTCTCCCCAGATTTTAATTGTCCAGGGCATTTGGAGCACTGCTCACTCCATTATATTCCTGAGATTTCATTTAAATAAAACATTATCGTCAACTCTCTTCATGACTTAAACTAGTCTAATTGTGTTAACAATTAGTTTTACAAAATTTCCTGCATGCTGAATATTACTTTGCTTGCAGTGACATCTACTGGTTAGCAGAGGCTAAAAGGAACATGCTGATTAAGCTACCAACTGGAAAGTTACCATTATTATCAGAATCTGTTTATTTTGCTTATCATATTGCATCTGTTTCTTTGTCATCAGTTCAGAATAATGCATGAGAATCAGCACATCTATACAAAAATACTCATATATTTGTTGCATTAGTTTAGGTGACTCACACAATTTGTATTTTCAAAATTAACAATAAACATTTTCTATGAAGGGTTATGGCCAGTATTTGACTCTTGAATATAGTTCTAATTTCCACTGTGTGCCAATAAAATATTTCCACTTTAATGGCCAGATTCTAATAGTTTTATGTACCTGCCTGCAATGCTGACATGTCAAGTTTTTGAAAATTGCAGCTGCTCGGCAATTGGTTCAGCTCAGCCAACAGAAATGACTTTCAAGGGAATTGGTTTTTGGTTACATGTGCCAAGGCCAATTTTGGCCCTGTTCATACGAGGCAGTTTGGGCCGGGAGTGGGCCGGATTGGAAGCGCAACGCGCTTCAAAAGTGAACCACCTACCTTCGGTGGTTCATCCGTTTGCTCCGCATCACACTGGCCGTGGGATCGGCGGCGCGCCTTGCCGCCGGCTCATCCCCGGCCCCCAGCTGAACTGCGCATGCGTGAGCACGCGCAGTTCAGCAGCCTCCCCCTCCCGATCCTCCCTTCCTCCCCGGCATGTGATCGTGCTGGGGAGCAATGGCGCGCGTTGCACGGGATCCATGGGATCCCGCCCGCGCGTCTCTTTTTTGATGCGGCTCTTTTCAGCTGCGCTTTGCCGGGTGTTTTCCCTGCCGTGTGGCAGGGGCCTTTGTTTCCATCTACTATGTATTTAAGAGCCAACAAACCACTGAAAAAAGAAATTCTCCAACCACACCCATAAGCCTTTTTTTTGGTCACACATCCAAAGCAAAACCATTCAGATCATTTGCTTTTATTGACTTTAATTCATAAATATAACATTACAGAATAAACTTTTTAAATTTATTGCTAATAAATTAGAACACAGCTCCCAACTCCTGCATTTCTAATATGAACACATCCATCAGCTCAACTTAAACCTTATTGCTTCCTCTTCTGAGGCAACAATTCTTAATCCTTCACAGCGCTTACAGGAAACATTTGGTCGCTGACACAGACAAAACTTAAAAAATAGATAAAATTCCATGTTAAAGGGAAAAACGGGTATTTGTGAGAGAGAAAAAAGGAAAATATGCCTCATCCAAACCATTGCCTCCATCACTCCATAATATCCCTGTGTCCGTCCTATGTACTCAGCAGAGCATAATAATTCTACCTCGCCAATTTCCAGTCAGGCCTATCCTACAAACCAGGTGGACATGTGGATGTCACCCCCTGTATCTCCTTGGTACATGTAACTGAAAAAGAAATCCCAAACACTATTCATCATTGAAATATAGCCTCCTCCCACTTCAATGACTGGCACTTACATGGAATGGGGAATAACTAACATAACAGTGCCATGACATAGGTATTTTTGTTTCCCGCTACATGTGAATGAGGAAATGCAGGGGAGATCTGTGTCAAAAGCCTCCACATATCTCCTATTTTGAGCCTCTGTTCTGTTACTGAAAATCTGAGAACAAATCTTGCTCACTGCCCAATTTCTGCCTGCAGAGTACAGTTGCAGCCACTGGAGGCTGCTGCGCCTTCAAGACTCTTTTTTCAAACTGTTCCGATAGCATTCCGAGGTGATGAAAGCAACAGATGAAGGTCCCCTGCAACTGAAGCAAAAAGGTAAAACTCCGAGGGCTTTTAACAATATCACCCATATTTAAAATACTCTAATACTTAGCTATAGACACTGGGAGATGTTTAGGAACAGCTTATTTACTTTTCCTCAGCGTCAAAGGGGAGATGCCTCAGGGGACCTGTGCCGAATGTTTAACCTGCAACTCCCACAGGTCTTTGGGAAAAGCCACGTGGACTCACAAGGAGTTCAAAGGGACTGAAAGGGATCACTTAACTCTGTCCTCCTAAACCATCTCCAATTGATTTTCAGCCAATCACACCATCCCCGAACGTTACAGTGCACTCAGGCAGGGTGGGAAAGCTCATTAAGGCTGCAGAACAGAAGAACACTGTCTCAAGTGCTGTAACTCTGAACAACTCCATTTTGCTCAAATGACTGTCTCTCGATCAATTACAATACAATAATATCTAGCTTTATTGTGTATAATTCAAACTCTGCTCTTTGTAATAAGTAATATGTGCCTGCCATAGCTCAACAGCAACAAAAAAGTACCTATTCATTAAAACGCCTGAGCTAAAATATTACTTATCTGTTTAAAATTATGGCACAATCCAGAATTTATAGCCCTGTTGGTTTCAGTGGGAAAATTAAGCACATGCTTAAATCACTGCCAGCAAAAATCAACAGGACTGACAATAATATTGGCTGGGTCATGTCCTAAATGATAAGGTTTCTTGAGCTTTAAAATCATTTACAAAGAAAAACACAAAACAACATAAGATAGCCTTCCTAAAGAATGCCCCAGTTGCTACGGATCATCTTTGCTTTTGCTCCTCCTTTAGTTTCTTCTCACTTCCCGGCCCCTTAAAGGCTGTGGGGGTCTAAAATTTTTCAGCATGCGGCAGGCCACTTCTCCATCACCAGTACAAAGGATGCTGCGGAATTTTGCCAGCTGTGGATGGAAACAAGTACTACTCAGCAGAAGGAAAGACAGAGCTAATGCCAAAACCCAGCCTGGAGTCCTGCCGATAGTTCCCCCTTCCCACCAAGGTATCATCCCAGTCTAGCGCTCTTTGCACTGCCATAGGTGCAAGGAGCTCCTGTGTGGGGGAGAATCTTGTTTAACTTCAGTGGGAGGACAGCACATCTGGAGAGAGTGCCTTGCATGAAGCTAATAAGGGAAAGCATCACACATGACAAAACCTCATTCGCGCATTACACGATGTAAAGGCAGTTCTGTCACTTTAGACCTCATTCCAGTTCAGAAGAGTTTTCTTTTTCAACCACATTTTGAAAATGTATAATGCTTTTACATACAGGGAACACACTAACATGCACAGTGACTAAACAAGCAACACTAATTCCTCTATTGTTTTCTATGATTCTATTAATCACGAGCAAAAAAGGTACACACTACAAAAAAAATCCATCCATAGAAGCAATTTTTCTCCAGGCCAGTAGGGCCGGGGATCCTGGAGGTCTTCTGTCATCTTCAGGGCATGGGACAGGGGTCACTGAGGGTGGGGTGAGGTATTTGTGAATTTCCTGCATTGTTCAGGGGGTTGGACTAGATGACCCTGGAGGTCCCTTCCAACTCTATGATTCTATAGTTCTAAGCCAGTTCCCAACATGTTATCATGTTTTAGAGCAATCAAGAAACAGAAGCCAGGGGGACAGACAAAGAGTCCAGAAACGAAGTCTAGTGACTCTGCTACCTCGGGAACGGAAGAGGATTCTGTGGCAGAAAAGGATGCAGGACCAGCCAGAGTGGTATACGATTTTAGAGACAGAAAGCCGAAGTAAAAGCAGAAGGACTTGGAAAATGGCCTTTTGAAGCGAAGAATAAGAAGATGATCAGAGACTTCTCTCATAACAACTAACAAAATAACATGTAAATAGCGAATTGTTATAAGCAAGAACTCTACAAGTATATTGTGATACTAAAACTAATTGTACTAACATTTTTACTAACAGTGAAAAGATAGGGTTGCCAAATCGACTTACGTCGCCGGTGGGGGATTCTGGGGTGGCTCCCGGAGCGCGCGCGCCGCATGCACGTCACAGGCAAGTGATGTCATGACGCCGGGCTGTGGCCCCGCCCCCAGCATGCCCAGCGTCATAACGTCACTTGCCTGTGACGTGCATGCGGGCGTGGGTTTTCCCCCGGGGCCCGATTCCGCGGGGACGGAAATCGGGCCTCCAAAGCGGGGGGAAATCCACCCCCCGGGGGGAATTGGCAGCCCTATGAAAAGATCTCCTCCTCTTGGGGGTTTAGTTTAGCGTGGCTTGCTTTCCTTTATCCTTAGTTGTAGTCCCTTCCCTAATACTTCTTTGTAGTTTTTGTAGTATTTGCAAAATTAAAAAAATTCCCTCCGGGGACTTATAAAAAAAAAAGAAATAGAAGCCAGGAAGAGGCCCACACAGATTTAATTTTTAATGCCTAGTCCATCAAGTGCAGGCCGCAAGGTTATCTCTGAATACATTCTTTTAATTTCTCACATGGTCACAAACAGGTATCATTCATTCTTGTGAGGAAAACTGACAAGTGCAGAGAAGGGGGACACCTGGCTTTGGACCCTGAGAAAAGGTGGGCCTGACTCTCACTGAACAGATTCACAGCATAGGCCTGTAGTGTCTTGGGATGGGATCAAACATATAAATGTCCTGAAGCAGACTACAATTTGTAAAAATGAGCCTGGGCTTTCAACCTCGTCCTAACAATTCCTTCTAAAACACTCTTGAATTTGAACCCACCAACTGTGCCTTAATTCCAAAAGTGCACACAGGCTCAAAAAAGTTGGGGACCCCAGGATTAGAGTATCAGACTAGGACCTGGGAGATCTGTTAGGACTCAGCATGCCTGGACTTTGGGGGGCACTGCATCACTCTAAGTGTGCATAGGTGTTGAATGAGATGCCTCTCTTTGTCTTCACCTGGGAGCTGCTCTCTGAGCCCTCTTGTCTATCACTCTGTCCTCTCACACTCTGCACACAGCCTTCCACTAGGGCTGCCAAGTGGGGGCGGGGGGCGGGTAACCCCCCGCTTTGGAGGCCCGATTTCCGACACCGCAGAACCGGCCCCCGGGGGAAACCCCACCCCTGCGTGCGCGTCACCAGGAAGTGACGTGGGCACGCCAGGCACAGGGCCACAGCCATACAAGGGAAAACTCTATGGTTTTCCCTTGTATGGCCGTGGCCCCGCCCCCAGCATGGCCTGGCGTCCTCCCGTCACTTCCGGGTGATTTGTGTGCGGTGCACGCTTTGCACGCGCACACACCAGACACCGGCCGGGAGCCCCCCACTCCCGACGAAGACGCACTTGGCAACCCTACCTTCCATGGAGACACATGTCTCTGCAGGCCTCTCCTGTAGGTGCGGTGCCCTCGTACTCCCACACATATGATGCCAGACAAGCTGGCCATTTGTGACAGGGAAAGTACTCTTTAGATTAGGCTTCTCTCTCTCTCCTTTCAACTGCAACCTGAATGTGAACTGGATCTACTTGAATAAAGGTAAGTTTACCCTTTTTTTGTAATATACTAATTTGGATATTTATTTACTGCAGTCAGTATCATGCTTCTATGACTGGGCAAAACTCTGCTATATTAACCAAATATCCCAATAAACTCCAGGTTAAAAAAAAAAACCCATCCCTCTGCCATGCAAGTTTGCTGGGTGATTTTGGGCCTGTCACACACTCGCCACCTAACCTAGCTCAGAGTTACTGCGAGGAAAAGATGGGTAGGTGAGCCTCGTATGCTGTCCTGTACTTCCTGAACTGCTGGATTTTTTAAAAGATGGTAGTGACTATATTCCCCTAATAATTATCTAAACATAGCAGATTGCATACTTTCTAATGACTGTCCTGTTCAAAAATAAAGATCTGCAGTATTGTTTGAGCAGGGAAAAGTAGTCAAATATACCTGTTCGGAGCAAATGTTTATAGGCTCTCTGAGAATGATCCAGATAACACTTTCAAGAAGAGGAGGAACAGTCAGAGAGCCAAGGTAAGTCCAGTAGTCCAGAGAGTGAGGGAGCAACCAGGAGGGGTCAAAGTTGGTGAATGTGCGCTGCTTACCCTAAAGCAAGGAAGACATACACTGATAAGACTCAATTTGCTTACTCTCTTATTGACACTGCCATCCACTCCTTTTTCCTGCTTTTAACCACTGTTTGAATGAAAATTATGAAAGGCTTCCTGCCAGATTTTTATGCAGGTTGTTTTTTAAAGTTACTCTTCCAATACCATGGGGCAGATAAAAGGTAGCCTTCTGCATCCTTTTTGTTATTTGTTAATGCCAGCATATTAACTGCTTTCACTTGCACTGGGAAGGGACCCCTGGAGAACAAAACCATTCAGATAGCAAATACCCTGTCTTTAGCTTACAGTTTCTCTCGTGAAGCGATAATGCTATTTATCATCCCCTGCACCCTTCTGGCGCTGAATGATCCTTTCCTTTTGGCGCCTATTCATTTTCAGTTGAACCAAGACATGCAAGGTAAGTGTGGTCATGAGAAGACAACACTGAGTATTTGGAGACAGCTGACCACAGCACCTTGGGAGGGGGAACTGAACTTGCACCTTGAACACCTTTATCTAGAGGACCCAAAGCAGTGTGGCTTTCTGGCACTGAATGATCCTTTCCTTTTGGTGCCTATTCATTTTCAGTTGAACCAAGACATGCAAGGTAAGTGTGGTCATGAGAAGACAACACTGAGTATTTGGAGACAGCTGACCACAGCACCTTGGGAGGGGGAACTGAACTTGCACCTTGAACACCTTTATCTAGAGGACCCAAAGCAGTGTGGCTGGTAATCAGAGACAAGGCTTTTTCAGTGGCTGTGGAAAGCCAGCACCTGGTCTGCTATCTTTTAGAAGCCAGTTGAAAATGTCAGTATTTGCCCAGGTTTCTTTTTGTATTGGTATGATTGGGAACAGCCCTTGTTAAGACTCTTTTAGGGCAGAAGTTGTTTTATGTGATCCCTTCTTGTTCCCCAAGGATCTTTAAACGAAGCACGGCAGCCCTCAAAAACTCAGCTGGGCTTCCCAAACCCTGTCCTCTGGATCCTGGGCTGGACATTATGGGGTCCCCAAAAGGGATACCTTGTGGAACTACTACTGCCATTTTACCTGTTATTTATTTTATTCCCTGCTCTTTTACTCCACTGTATCTATGCTGCGTTTCACCTGCTGTTTTTTATTTGCATTCATTTTGTAACTGATACTAATTTGAATGTAAGACACTTCAACTATAACATACAGAGAAGCAGCTCTACGTGTGCCCAATGTGAGTCCTATATGGCCATGAACTGAACACTGAACTGAACAATATTGACCTAAACAAACATCCCCATCTATTTGTTGCATGTAGAGCATGCCAAGGAAAGTGCACATTCATCTGCTTCCATCACGGGAATGAACAAGGAAGCACTTAAGGGTCAGTGAGGTTTCCAATTGCACCTCAGGGAAACCTACACCCTGGACTGGGCAGCAATCCACAATGAGAATGCTGGACACACACGTTAATGAAGATTAGAATGACCTTACCTTAACTTTAATCACATCCAAAAGGTCTGTGATTTTCTTCAGCTGTGAGTTACACTCACCCACCTGGAAAGATGAAGGATGTTAAATTACTGGCTTTGCTGAAGGTGACTTTTAATTTTAAAATTTTATTCCATTTATTCTTGAAACGTATTCACTGCTTTCTTGTCAAAATGCACTGTTTTTAATAATCACATAAAATGATAAATTTTAATGATAAATTTTAAAGCAACAGCTTTAAAATGACTGCAGCACAGAAGCTAAAAATAGTACAGTTTAAAAAATGTACATCTAGGAAACCATAAGGTCACTGAAAAATATACAAAGATACCATTAAATGCTGAATCTGCTTGCAAAGATTATTCCCTAATTGTGGTATTTTCACTGAGAGAGTCCTGCCTTGAGCAGATCTTACTTCAGAAGGCACACAAAGAAGTGCCAAGGAAATGCCTCCCAGGATGTTCTTGGCAAATGGAAGATGTGCTAGCCAGTTTTCTCCTCATTAAGAATAAGGGGGGAAATTTTCTTCCATATGCCACAGGAACTATAATAATCAGGAGGTATACTGAGGATTATTTTACCAGTTACCGGTAACTAAACAAGCAAGTACAGAAATATTTGCTAAATATTAATTAGCCTGTCCCTTAACACACTTCAATCCCCCCCCCCTATCACCGAACCAATGAAGAATAGCTATGTAGGACATAACTACCCAATATGCCTCACATGTATCAGGTCATGGGTACATGACTGGGATTCACAGTCAGATGTACATTGGGGGAATTCACCTTTAAAAATGCTCATTTGCTCAATGCTGTGAGGGTGAGGGAAACAGTTTTTGGTTTCTCTCCCACCCTGCTTTTGTCAGCTGAAAGAGTGGTGGAGGAGGCTTTCCTCCCCTTTTCTCTGTCTGTATATGTCCTTCCTAGGGCACATGGAGCCAGAGGAAATGGGAGAAAAGCCCCACCATCCTTTCCACTAGTGAAAACAGGGTGAGAGGGAAACCAGAAGTTCCTTCTCCTCCGTTGCAGCACTCCCTCAGTGCTGAGTGAACAAGCACTTTTTAAAGTGAATCCCTCTGGTATATGTCTAACTGCAAGACTGATCTAGCACCTGTAACCCAACACATGTTCTGCATATCATGCAGTTACGCACTCAGAGCTTCCTACATTTGCTGTAAATTTTCAGAAACTGAAGGAACAATCGTTCTTACCTTTAAGAAAACAGCCATGACTGCTAATCCATCTGGCTGGCGAGCAGCCTCAACAAAAGTGGAGTATTTTTCTGCATTCCAATGGACCACATGAAGCTGAAAAGAAAGATCACAAGGACTATCAATCATCACTGTACTGAAGATAAACAGCCCTCTGTAACACATAATGAGGCGTATTTGGGGCCAGTTTAACTTCTGTTTACATGCAGCTCAAAGCCATCTTGACGTATGAAGTCCTTTGGAAGCGCCATGCACGTTGGTCCAAAGTTCTGAAGATCCATTCTAGACAGTCCTAGTACTGGCCATGTTGAAATGGTATCTGGCATAATGCTTATCCCTCCCACTAGGTCATGGCCCACCCCCTTTTCCCCCTTGATAGGAATCCTCAGATATACACGCTGGATTGAGGGCTTATGTCCTTGCAGGAAGGCTGCTATGTTAGGGTAAAATATTATTATGAGTTCTGACTGCTCAGTTCACTAAACCACTCTGCATTCTAATACTTAAGATGTCCACACTCAAACTGACTTTTAAATTTTTTATTAATATTGCAAAGAGGAAACCAATGCTTTTGGTAGGAATGGCTTTTATTGCAGATTAATGGAAAACAACAAACAAGAAAGGACACGAATAAAATAAGCCACACTTCCTCCTCTCTGTCATTCTGCTAAATGACAGAGCTCTGAAACATTGTGGGGCAGGCCCATTCCCAATGGCTTGTGGCTTCTCTTTTAAAGGATGTATGTATCTTGTCTTACCACCACTTCGGCACCACAGCTTGTTGGAGAAATCTTTTAAGGCCTGTTTCTTTTGTGCATCATCATCATCGGCACTCCTGTACCACAGCCTGTTGGAGAGACCTGGGTCCAGTGGATAAGGTGTCCCAGCCTAATGGGACCTTGGATCCAATGGTCTGTTGAGATCATCTGCCAGGGGAACCACGTTGTTTTCTTTGACAGCAGAGTAGCTCTTTCTTCTTGCATGTGCCAATTTGGCAGAGGTGCATTGTTGAGTCAAAGAGCCTTTTTCTTCATGGAACTAAGAACTAAAAACTTCTACCTATCCACTGATCCTTCGGAAGGTTCTCCCTCTATATACGCTGTGGTGAGCCTCACGTTCCCTCAATGCTTAGGATCCTTTTTCCAAAATCAGAATGGTTTCTAGTGGGTCCTTGAAGATGTTTATAACCAGCAGTGGGAAACCTTTTTAAACTGACTAGAAATTCCTTGACATTTTCTCCTTCCATTTGGTTTCTTAGATGTACCTTATACTTTCCAGCTAAAAAATATGTTTGGAAAACACTGCTTTCTAAGCACCTCTTATTAATTCGTTTTATTCCATCTCACCTGGTTCCTGTGGAAAACATAAGTCTTTAAACACTGCAAATGTCATTTGCCCCCAAACTAATTTTCCCCCATTGGTTTTAGTCATTCCCCCCCCCCACTTTTCTCCGTTTTACTAAGGAAAGTACTTTTCTGTCAGTCTTCAGTGCTTGCATTCAAGTTGCAATCAACCATTTCAAAATCACTTTTTTCCACATGATAATATCATCATGTTTCATCATATCAGTTAACTGAAAGCCACTTACATTTGTAAGGGTGGAAATCAACATGCTCTAGTGCAGGGTTGGCCAAACTTGCTTAACGTAACAGCCACAAAGAATAAATGTCAGATGTTTGAGAGCCGCAAGACATGAACAAATATTACACATACGTTTTTATTGAAAAGTATGCAAATTTGCTTTTTATTAACATTAAATTGAACGGTGTGAAAGAGCCGCACGAGGCTCCCAAGCTGCAATTTGGCCACCCCTGCTATAGTGGCATCTGAAATTTTAAATTGTGGGGTTTGCAAACGGCATTAGAATTTTGACATTCTCTTTCAATATAGAAACAATATTGGAAAAAAAATGTCAAAAAGAGTAAGAATACCAACAAAAATCCCAGTCTAGAGAATTCTTAGGCTATGGAAGCTTGAATACACGCCTGAAGCTTCCCTGTTGGTAAGTGCTTCCTCTTTCATTTTAATGAAAAAAAGGCCTATTTGGGCACACACAGAGCAGCCAACACACAGCTCAGATCAGCATGCAGTCTGGGTCTTGGCACACATCTCTACAAATAGATCAATATACATCCAAAATAAATTGCTTTCCCCCCTGCAGGGCGTTTTTATTGGGGGGGGCTCTCTCCACCTGTAGCACATGAACTGTACAATTATATAAAGAGCAAGATCTAGTCCACTGCAGGTGCAATGCCTACACCCTGAAGATTCTCATAGGATCATCTGGTCCTTGTTTTCTTCCTTTCATTCACCTATATGCAGCAGGTAGGTTAAAGGATCATTACAACGAGTGGAATGTCTGTGTGTAACTCCCACATCTCCATTGAGATATGGATACAGAAGTCTTACACAGTTCTCCCCTTCCCGCTAACAGGCGCTTGCACTGCCAGCATGCATGCATGTTAATTTCTACAGGTGGTTAGGAGAAAAGGAGGAAAACAATCTCTATGGAGCCCCTACATGCTATTTTCACAGTGGACTGGATCATGCCCATATAGTCTTACAGCCTAAGTTCTTCATAAGAATACTTGTTACATTTCCCCCACATACGATACTGCTTTAGAACAAAATACATTCTTAAATATTAAACCTGGTATTTCATGTGGCATTCAGCACTGAACTAAAAATACAAAATAACTGTCCAGTTCAGGGTAACTACACACTGAATGGAAGAAATTTCCTCTGTTTCCTACATGTCCATGAACTGAATACTGGAACACAGAAGGAAGATGGCTATCCAGACATGCATGGCCATTTATACCAGGAAATCACAGCCAAGTGTGGCTTCCCATGCGTTTTTGGTCATATGTCTTCCTTCAAACATTACAGTGAACATTACATGACATGTGGCAAAGATATCTGTTGCATGATGTAGCCCTCAATGGACAGTGTAATTGCGAGATGCTTAATGGTGCAATTCACAAAAATAAAAAGTCAAAATGGTAACATAGCTGAGAATGCCACATAATCTACATACCTAATTTTCCAGAAATAGTCAAATTCTAGGATTAAGTAATCAGATTGACACACTTTGCAATGCTAGTGAGTCAAAATGAGATTTATATTGCAAATGAAAAATAACTTGGTGCTGACATCCCTTTGATAGTTTTTAAATGGGACTGTCCAATAGTGGGTTCAGGAAAGCAAAATGAATCATAACTACTTCTATACAGTTCAGTGCAATGCTTTACCTCTGCTGCGAATTTTGTTCCGTCCACTGCATGCTCAGAGCCAATGTCATCACTGGGCCCCCAGTGGAAATGAATCTGCCGCAGCCTATAGTTTCCAATGAGTGGACCCCCACTCAGCACTGTAAACATAAAATGTAAAGTGGCACTGTTAGAAAGTTGGGAACATTTATTTGAGTGTTTCCTTATATTTTATGAAACACAAATATGTTGCAATTCAAGGCAAAAAACCCCACCCCAACTGAGCAAACTTATTCAGTTCTATACTCATTCCATACCAAGACATACCAGTGCAAACAGTAATGGCTGGAGTGTCAATTGTTTTATTTCACATTGCTTGTTAAAAAGCAAAACAAGAAGTGCTGTTCAAAATAAGATGATGCCCAGAATGATCATCATTGCCACCAAGATTTCCTTTAGTTTAGAAATGAAAGGTAACCAAGTGGGAGTGGTTGATACTTGGTGTATGGAGTTGATACTTGATGTAGGATTAGTAGAACCAGGGCTATTTTTAGGCAGTAATGCACAGGAACGGTGTTCTGGCTGGCTTCAGAGTTGTCCATGCCCACTACAGCCAAAACCTCTGCGTGCGTGGCTACAGAGGGAAGGCCTGGTGAGCGACCACCACCCCCCGGCAACTCCGAGGTGGATGGGCCAGAGGGGACCCTGGAAGGATCGGGGAGGTGTTTAAATGCCTTCCTTTCCCTTCAAAGGGGGGGGGCTTGCCCAGGCAAACCAAGGGAATGCATGGGGGGGTGGCCTAATATGCTAATGAGTTTCTGCTATTGGGTGTGGCCTGTTATGCTAATGAGTTCCTGCTGGGCTTTTTCTACAAAAAGAGCCCTGAGTGGAACACAGATATGTTCCACGAACGGTGGTGTTTTCCCCTACTCTGAGTAGCCTTTCCCTGAAGCAGAAGGCTCGGTTTGTTGCTGCCAGACAGAGCAATGAATCCTGAGCTAAACAGAACCATGACCACTATGAATCGGC